AATCTTTAGCCAGTGCAGACACATCTCTCCAATGCTGGGGAGGTAATGGGGAGAAATTATTATTTGGATTGAAAAGGAAATGATTGTTTAACAAACTAAGGTGAAATATATATGAGGTTGAAAAAAAAAGCCTTTATTTAGGCCTAATGGAAAGGAAGGCAAATATTTCAAACATTTTAAAATATTTAAAAAGTAAAAGGGAAATTTTTTTTTTTGGCATGAATAAAAGAAAAAGTAGTCTATACAAAAAGATTATTGCAAAAAAAATAATATTCATGAGTATATAAAAAGGTTATTGTAAAAATTAAATCAACATTGTTAAACAATGTGTATAGTGTACTGGTTAAGTGTTAACATTCTTTTTCCTGATCTATCTCATACACTTCCATTTATGTGACACCCCCCCCCCCCCCCCAAATAGTAAAAAAATAAAAACAACCTCACCAATTCAAAATGACGGAACGATTTATTAATTCTTTGTAAATACGCAGATCTACATTCAAGTATTTATTTAACGGAGATCAACAATGACAATGATTACTAGATCTATATCTAATAATACTAATAGTCCAATGTAGAAACATAACAAACACAAAAACACAGAGGCTAACAAAACATACATTAGAAGTCTAGACATAGTCAAAGATACAACCTAATTTCAGATCTTGTCCAGCTGATCCTTGCTAAAAAGTTAACCCCCGCCACCCAAAAACTAGGTTATGAAATTTGGGTAATCTATCGTTTTAGGTACGTAAAATCGGCCGCGACTAGTAATGTGAAAAACAGGTGACTCCTTACATTATTCATTTATTATTCATTTATCTATAATATTTGACACAAACATATCACAATATACTTCTATTACAGCCTTGACAATGAGGTAACGTTTTCGTACATTAATAGCCGCGGGCGATTTTACGTACCCAAAACGATAGATTACCGAAATGGTAATGTACTTTTAGACTTTATTGAAGAGGGTAAAATTGGGACATGTTATTAATTGAATGAAAAAGTCAGTATTTTGGTTCCTTTAACCCTAAAACTAGAGACGTATACGGTATACGTTGATTTTATGGCGTGCGTTTAATAAATATTCAAATATCTAGACATCGGAAACAGGTTACAAGTGGCGGGGGTGAACTTTTTGCGGTAAAACCTTAGTTTAGCGTCGGTTATTATTCCGGAATCGTACAGCAGTAAAAAACAGTAAAACAATGACAAAGTCTGTCACACACTTCCGGAATTCACCGGAAGTACTGTAAACCATACTTTATTTGGCGTCATCTTTTATTTTTATACAGAATGTTTAAAATTTGGATAGATTTATTTTTGTAATCATTTTTACATTTTGTAATCATTTTTACTATTTTCGTAATCTAGATTCTTTTACTTGGCCTAGCAGCTAGATATCTAGCTAGATCTAGATCTAATTAATTAATTAATGGTCGCAAATCCGCTGCAAGACAAAAACATTAAATTATTACATTTGACTTCATTATTTATATTTATATTAACGAGCCGACCCGCTGCGTAACCTACGCCGCTATTTAGTTTTTTTTTTCTACTTTTCAGTAATTTATAATTTGTGAATTCGGCAGTACCAATGCTGCCATTGAAAATATTTGCTTAAAAACACTAACCCCCCCCCCCCCCCACGTGAAAGCAGCCTCCTCTTAGTAACCTCCTCTCAGTTTAAAATCGTTTCAAACTAAATTATCTGCCCCTAATCGCCGTCACCAAACCCGTCTTTATGATTGTAAAATCCTAATATATAAATCCCCACGTTCGCACATCTCTCTCTCTCTCTCTTTCTCTGTCCGCAAAAAATTTTCGCCGGACATCACGTCAGAATCGGCAGCGATAAATCGAGAACTTTTTACGGACTTTTGTTGAAAAAAATATGTTAGATGTTTTAAATGTATAACCACAAAATTATTTAAAGAAGAAAAATAAAAAATAAAGGCGTATTCGAATATAGAGAAACAGTATTATTTATGCAACCGGAAAAGCATTAATATATGTGAAAAAGAACGCATAAAACTGTGACGTCACTATTGCTTATACATTAACTAATGACGTCATCTGCCGTGTTTAGAATGAAAAGAAATGAACTATTTCATTCAAATTTGATTTAGATCTACGTACACTATGAAATGTATACAATACAATTTTTCCGGCCTAAACTCATAAAATTTATTTTATGTATTTGGATTCTAGATCTAGAGATTCTAGATCTAGACTATAGACTAAATCTACGCAATAACTAGATCTAGACGTAGACGCTAAGATCTAGATTTAGACTCTAACTTCTCTAAAATCAATTCCAAAAATAAATTTCTATATTAGGACTAAACTATTTCAAGACTTATTTATTTTATACAAAATCTTTGTTATGAACTGGCTAATTTGGGATAAAAAATTAATTTGAAAGAATAGGCATATTCGCGTAAGTTAAGATTTTAAAATACGTGTTTCATTCTCCGAATATTATAAGGTGCCTAAATAGCGGAGATGTTAGTGTACATTAAACCACGCAGGTGGTGCGGGTTCGAGACACAGCAAGTCAGCTTGGTTAATGTATTCTTTTTTATTATGCTCGGGCTAAACTTAAATAAAAAATTCTTTTAGGAATCTAGCTCTAGATCTAGATTGTCGGGTGTCCGATAGGGCACTTCCCGGCGCCGCAGGCGCTTCAAATTTGGCATGATCTTGCCTTGGTGCGACAGAACACGGGGGCCGGTTGGCCGAAAAGTCTACGATGTGGGGGTCAAAACTGACCTCGACTGACCGGTACCTTATATGAGCTATAAATCGAAAAAAAATGTCCACGGAGGAACCTCTTCATAACTCTTGAGGTCGTAGACCGACCTTCGGGCGAATTAATTAAGCATTCAAATTCTCAATGTTTTCGAAAGCCTAAGCGAAGCTGGGCAGCATGCCTAGTGTAAACAGAGTGAACACCGCTCACCATATCATGTAGGGGTGGGGTGGGGGTGGTAGTGATAGAGAGGAAGAGAGGGGACTGCAAAGTCGCGCTTGCAGCTTGTTTTCTAACGGCTCGAAGAGGAGAATTATATATATAGATATATGTTTATTTTTTATTTTTAGATCTACTAATTTAAATCTACTATTATATTTATTCTTGTTTCCTTTTGTTGATTAAACTTAAAAAATTAAAACAATTTACTACAATCGACTTTCAATTTAATTATATTTCAATGGTCAAATAAAACATCGTTTACCGTAACTCTAGTTACCGAAACTCAACAAACTTTACCCGATAATTTCCGACGCTAAACTAAGGTTTTACCCTTTTTGCATAAGTGGCGGGACAAGACCCCAAATGTCTTCAGACACAAAACAAAGAAAAAACTACGCCCACCTATAGGCATACATCTTATATAGCAAAAAATCAAAGCTACTAGACTTTAGTAATAACACAAAGTACGATGTATTCATAATATTTCAATTTTCAATATTAATTATTATGTGTTGGTCAAATTTAAAACCAACTACCGGAACGTGCCGAATGTTTCATTCAACAATGGTCAATTTTTTTGGATGTACTAAAATACTAAACTAAGTAAAAAATGTATCAAACCAGAAAATAATGGGTTTTTTTTTTTAAAACGCTTAAAATTACCCTGATTGCAAGCTAAAGTGTACTTGAAAATAAAATAGTATAAATGTGGCAACAATTTACGAAAAAAAAAAAAAAAAAAAAAAAAAAAAAATCGGCATTTCCATGATTTAGACTAGACTGCTGTACACATTTACATTTCAAAACAGAAACTGGATCTAAGTGTATTTTTTTTTTACTGATCGCTTTGGCCTACAAGGAAAAAAAAGGGGGTGGGGGGGGGGGGGGGGAGAGAAATTAGAGAAAGAAAGAAAAAAATATTGATCTAAGTTAGTCTAGCCTACAGAAGCGTTATCTTTTACTTTTGATGAAGATAATGATGCGGTTAGCCAGGGATTTAAAAATCTGCCCGACATAGACACTACTCCACCACACGCAAGCCTGCAAGACGCCCAGGCTGAGGTCACCGATCAGTGGCCTAAAGAACTAACGCGATTAGGGATTTTAAACTCTACGCCAAACCCATTGCCAAAGAGAAAATATCTGCACATGCATGTCTTTGTTAACCTAATTGTATTACAAATACGCATATAAAGTACAGATTAACTATGAACATGTAGGCTACATTGTGTTTTTAAAAAAGGGATCACTGTTAGTTAGCGAAAGATTACAGATTAAAAAAAAACAACAACACATTTTTAACATTTCGACACACATCCTCCCTATACGGACTATAGTATTTCCATTTTATGGTTAGACTCCCCCCTTTCCACCACAAACTATGAACCTAATTAGTAATAAACATAGTTTTCAAATAAATAAATATCCGCTTACTTCTTTATTTAAAAAAAAAAAACCCAACTATAATGCCTTATAATTTGTGTAATAATAGAAAGAGTGTGTAGTAGTATCAACAATAATTCTAAATGGCGTTTTCTTTTTATCACACAAATTCAATGCTTTATACCCTCACCATAGGCCTACCCCAATACACAAAATGACACCCCCCCCCTCCCATATTTCGTTTAACACACACCGTCTATAAGACTGTACAGCCTTTCGGCAATCAATACACAGATGTGTAGTAAGCTTCAAGCTGCTAGGCTATCCGTAAAGTGCCAGCCTCCTTTAAAAAAAAAAACCTCAACTACCGTACTCGGCCTTAACCTTGTCAGGGAACGAAGAAAAAAAAAAAAAACCCGCTCGCTTGCTGTGTCGACCGATGCTTGCCACCAGCAGTCGGAACCAAACTACTTCCTGTCAGACCGGAAGTGTAGAGGGCTAAGCCAGCAACAAACAACAGGAATGAAGATTGGGGAAGGGGGGTAGGGGGGGAAAAGGAGGATGCGCTACCATAATACTCATTAGAGCCGAGAGGTGGAAGAACAATTTAATTCGCACCAGGCTTCTGTCTGCCTATTTCACAGATAACAAATATACTTTGATAAAAATGG